TAACTAGTAAGTAACTAGTAAGTAAACTAGTAAGTAATTAGTAACTTATAAGTGACTAGAAGTAATTGGTAATTAGTAAGTAACTAGTAACTAGAGTAACTAGTAAGTAATAACGACTGTGAGCGTAAGGAATTGTTCTAATATGTGTGGTATTGATTAATGAAAGTCGGAAAAAGAGTCAAATTTTAACTGTAGTAGCTTCAACTTTTTATGATACAAAACCGAACACAATCCATGTGGCGGGTACGTAAACAAGGTTGATTTTTTCACAGTTTATTAAAGCAAATAAATTAATAAGATTGACTTAGCTGTCATGGAGAATAGCTGGATCAGCACATTACTAAGCAAGTGATAAGACATACGAGATAATATAATACCCGATAAGTGGTCCCTTCTGAAACTCGGGCGTGACTCGAAACGCCTCAATGTTTTTTACGATCATGATACTTCGATATAATTCTTCGTGATAAGAAGTAATTATTGATTGAATGAAGATGTTTATGATATCTTTTTAATAGGCTTACCTTTTCAAAAAGGGTTACAAAAGCCATCCGATGCCATCAACAATACACTGCGACCTTTGTTTGAATTTTTACTACATTATTTGCAACGTAGGCTAAACTAAGTTATCGCTTCTCCGTAGAATTCCAACACTTGCATTCACTTTGTTGAGTAAAATTTCGTTAATTGCGGCAGAAAATAAGATTTTTAAGAATTTTTTTGCGTCTATTCGGCAACATTCTTGAACCATCACAGCCAAATTAAATTACAGTGCAAGCATTCAACGTGAAGAAAAAATGTAAAATTTCAACACTCAAAAAGTTCAGTAACCACCAAAAAATTATAATTGTTATAACAAACCTTTTTTAATATTCTTCAGACAGAAATCCCATTATTTGCTGATGAACGTTTCGACGATTTGCTTTGGAAGTCTCGGCTAACAATAGAAAAAAACGAAAGCTTCCGGTCACTTATTCTGTTAAATATGGAGTATAGAAATTTAATAGTAAATATTGTTATACATGGAGTAGTTTTTCGTACACGAGAATACCTGCTTTTGAATGAGTGCGTTTTCAGGATATTTTTCTACACTATTAAAGGATTGTTCAAGTTCATATATACAGTATATATGTGTATATATACAAATTATAATAAACAGAGCGACAGAGTATATGTACTTGTACACAAAACTAAATCTCGGTGTTTAACAAAAGGTTGAGTCAATTAATAATAAGCAATAAGCACAGTGCAAACACCGCAACACATTACCCACGATGACTTTTATCACAACATTAGTTGACAAACATATTAAATGACAAACACATAACATATGTTTTACGCAGACAAAATTACGTAAAATAAATCACATAGTTCTGAGTTACATCAGCAGTAGCATTCACCACAATTTAATAATGATCGCGCGAATGGTATTTCTGTAAACATTATGCCATTATGGTATTTCTGTATTATGGTATTTCTGTAAACAAATGTCGAAAACAACGCATAATATATCTAAGGAGGTTAAATACAAATATGCTAAACAAATGAAAAAAACAAGTGTGAATTTTCTCAACACGTTCAAGTGAACGACCATCATTCCCTTTACTGACACTAAGCTGGGGAGACTTCGATAAAAAATAATGGATGATAGGTCGCTAAATGTGCAGATTTTCCTACAATTAAAAATATGAATGGGTCAAATTGTCTAAATAGCAGTATTTTTTTTACTACATCGCGTGCAGAGAGCAACGGATGATTTACATTTGTATTAGTGCACTTTTGAACTAATTCCAGAAAAAAATAGCATTGCTCTTCCGACAATGCCTCCCACATTTCTCTGAATGCTATGTGCCTGTCAAAATCAAAACTGCTAACTATCACCATTTCTCGACAATAAAAGATCAATATTAATCGCACTGAAACCTCATTAGGATTCAAATGACGCTCTTTAAGGACATTTCACTATAAAATTTCTAAATATTATGCTGGCAGCTTTTGTAACATTGAGCGTATTTTTGTTCGCGCGACATTGCTTCACGAAAAAGTTTTAATGAATATGCTGTTGAAACGTGCAAATGATAGACATGATTTCAGTTGACATGCTATGCTATGCAGCGAATCATAATTCTCACTAAATATTTACAAATTATTAGATAAATTTCAGCAGATCTCCAGTAATGTTATAAGTTTTTTTTTTAAATTATCTGTTAAACGGGTATTTCGACGACATTTCGTGACGAAGCGTGAAATCCTTTTATAAATAACATAGGAAACATGTCTATGGACACTCGAGCATCTTCTTTAGGAACGTGATCGACTGGGAACGTGATCAGTAAACAATATGATCATGATGATTGTTGATGATCTTTGGTTTCGAGAGTTAATGCCTAAAATATACCTCATGAGAGAAGAGTTGTCTGAATCCAAGAAATGACATTAGCTTCTAAAAACAAGTTAAGATGAGAAAAACGCACAAAAAATTCACCACACACGCGGGTGAAAATTCAGCTTGTTCTGTGTGAAATCATTCACACAGATTCCTTCTGTGTGAAATCATTCACACAGAACGAAATTACTTAATTCATGTACTATTCATGAATCCACCAAAAAGAAGAAGTTGAAGGAAGATTAACAACATAAATAGGTCCAGCGTTCATAAGTACAATGTTACAACAATAGGAAGAACCCGAAATACACTTTGCTCCATGCGAAAACGAACATATGCCATGTGTCAGTATCGCAAAATGTATATAATATCGAACAAATGTTGCTTGCTGAAGCATGAAAAAATTGGAGAGAAGTTGAGGACCAAAATAGGATTTCAATAAAATCAACTAAAACAACAAGATGAATAAAAACAAAAGAAAATTTAGTTTCGATGGCAAAAAGAGATGAAAAAACTTCCCGGTAAAATTAAATGGAAAGAAGAATATATTAGTGAACAATAAGGAATATTATTCATTGAAAAAAAATTTCCTTTTAGGGAAAAACAGCCCCGGTTTTACATGACTTGAACAATCTCGTATATAAGAGCACCTAACCCAGTATCGGTAGCATTAAATACTTAAATAAATGCAATGACCGTAACTATGCAAGAGACCATTTTTTGAACACAAAAAATACGGGGATATTATGCGAGTGAAATAAAGCGACAACAAAGTGTCGATCGTAAATTCCAAGTAATCTGAGGCCATACTTTCAAAAAAAGTTAAGAGATCGTAAGTTCATCAGCCAATCATTGACGGCATTTCAAGCAAAATCCACCAATCATAGACAAGAAAATAGAGCGTAAGTACTTACGTTCACTTAGCCAGTTTTGAAAGTATGGCCCCTGATAATTAGACGATAATTTCTGCACTTATCCTTAATCGAAAATAGAATAAAATAACGAGCCGTAGAGCTAATAAGAGACTCCAAGCGATTTGCCAAGCTATTTTTACACACATTCTTTGTACAAGTTGCAATTACCTGGCATGAAAATATGCCTTTCAACATTCATTATTAACAAATACCGCAACGATATTTCCATACAGACGGACCTAAAAGAATTCATGGAATTCGTCTAAAGAAGAAAGATTGTTTGCAATAAATAAAAAGCATACATGAACCGGCAAAATTTACACATTTCACTATGCTACAACGCACAGCTAATTCACGGTGTGAACACGAGTGAGAACACTACTCGGAACAACGTAATCTATTTATTTTTAAGATAAATATAGGAATAACGTAATCTATTTATTTTTAAGATAAATATAGAGCTATTCATCTTTTTAGATAAATAGCTCTTCACAAATCATGCGTGCAGGTGATGAATAACTTACGTTTTACGTGGACGAACTCACACTGAACACATGCATGAAACTGTAACTTTTTGAAGCATGAATTAAACAATTTCACTATTGTGTCTGTTTTGGGTTGACAATATCATCGATCGCTTACACAATTAAACAATTGAATGGGACTCACTATTGTGTCTGTTTTGGGTTCACGATAATTAAAAAAAATTATCATCGATCGCTTACACAATATAATCGCTGAGATTTCTTGCTGCCTAATAAAGCATCCATAGACTTTGTGTCGTGATTAACATGACAATAAAACTTATACGCCCTGCGGTACAGTTAAAAAACGATGAAAACAATCATAACTTGAACTCACAAAAATATTATAGGTAAGTCAAACTAAAATAATTGTACCAAATGAAAATCTACGCACATTATGCAGGCTTGGTTCATGAGATGACAACCATGTATCACTAGCTTACTAATAGTAAACAATCATTTGTTCGAGGTAAAATAGCGACCACTCGCAATATCACGCCCGAGGAAGGCCAAACTACGCTGACATAGTTGGTTCTCGCCATGGATTTGTCATTCTAGACATCGTTAACTATCATCGTTAAAACAAGTTGGCTAGAAGCATGATAACGAAGTTAAAACAAGATTGTTACCGGCACGATAAAGTCGTTAAAACATTTTGATACCAGCACGATGACGACGTTAAAACAAGTTGGCTAGAAGCATGATAACGAAGTTAAAACAAGATTGTTACCGGCACGATAAAGACGTTAAAACATTTTGATACCAGCACGATAACGACGTTAAAACAAGTTGGCTAGAAGTATAACGAAGTTAAAACAAGATTGTTACCGGCACGATAAAGACGTTAAAACATTTTGATACCAGCACGATGACGACGTTAAAACAAGTTCTATGCCAGCAAGGTAACGACGTTAAAACCATATTGTTACCGTCACGATAAAGACGTTAAAACATTTTGATACCAGCACGATAACGACGTTAAAACAAGTTCGATACCAGCAGGGTAACGACGTTAAAACAAGTTAGCTACCAGCACGATAAGGCCAAACTACGCTGACATAGTTGGTTCTCGCCATGGATTTGTCATTCTAGACATCGTTAACTATCATCGTTAAAACAAGTTGGCTAGAAGCACGATAACGACGTTAAAACAAGTTGGCTAGAAGCATGATAACGAAGTTAAAACAAGATTGTTACCGTCACGGTAAAGACGTTAAAACATTTTGATAACAGCACGATAACGACGTTAAAACAAGTTCTATGCCAGCAAGGTACCGACGTTAAAACCATATTGATACCGTCACGATAAAGACGTTAAAACATTTTGATACCAGCACAATAACGACGTTAAAACAAGTCCGATACCAGCAGGGTAACGACGTTAAAACAAGTTAGCTACCAGCACGATAATGACGTTAAAACAAGTTGTCTACGAATACGATACCGACGCATAATACTACGATGACTAAGGACATTTTATGCTAGGTGGGCTGCCGGTTTTCATATCGTAGTTGACTAACTTCGTGACGATCAGCCACGAGACTGTTGAAGGAAGGTTCTGAAATGCCATACTGCGCCAACTGCGGCAAAAGTGGCAGAGGTCTAGCAGGCCAATAACGCACTTTCTTCATGCCCTCTGACTCTTTCTGGATAGTTTCCAGTCTGCTAAGCAGTGGCCATAAATGTTGTTCGACCCACTCTCCTATGGTCCACTCATCGAACCAGTCGATGAGGGACTCCCGCGATGCTTTCACCAGCGAGACCATCGAGTGAAGTCGCCCAGGTAACTCTTCCAAATCCTCGTCTATGCGCATGGGGGAAGAGAAGTTATGGCGGCGGTTGTAGTCTGTTATCCATGCCCGACTTTTGGTCACCCGGTCAATGTAGGCTTCGACATCTCGTTTCGTCGTTTCCAGCCTAGACATGAGCGCGAAAACTTGCTTCCCGGGGAAGAAACACCACGAGAATTTCTCAAACAAAAACGGATCAGAATCTAAATTAATCCACGTTTGATATTTAGGAGATTGACCGCATTTGAGAGCGGAATAAATCTTGTCTTGCAAGCTGCTATTAAAGTAACCGTGGCTTACAGATATTAGATTCAATGCGAGTGATGGTATGGCTGCAGGTAGAAGTTCACAGAGCATGGCGAAGTGATCATATCTTTGCCACCCTGTCAACACGAGGCCTCGAAAACCTCCAGAAAATTTCGAACTTTCCGTTGACATGACATCGAGCCAGTTCATATGGTTATCCAGATGCCGTCTTACATTTGGCACAGTCAATTGCTCGCCAAAGGCGCCTTTAAATGCAGATGCTGCCCAGATGTGCGAGAAAACTTGACTGTACTTGGTCCAGCAAGATGGCTGAACGAACCTATATATGTCCTCAGCGTATACCCATACCATTGGCTCTACCAATTCCCCGAGATGGATATCATTCATGGAAGCATCCGAGACGTGCCGCAGCATGTCGTCCCAGATTAGGACCCCAGTGCCGTATTTAGCACGCACGTGTTTAGCGACAGTGGCAACGTGCTGCAAAAATAAATTGTCTTTAGCTTTTTGCCTGCACAGTTCACACTCGCCCATCTGAAAGACCTCGTCGCATCCAATATGCAAGTAACGACTGCTGGGGTGCAGGCGCATGACTTGATCGATCATCTCGTAGATCATCTGCAAGGATTCATTCTTGGAGGGACACAAGGCCTGAGGCATCTCAGGGACCTCTCGTAGATTGGAGTATCTTTGCTGCTTCAAGATGAATTCGAGATGACCGAGAGTTTGAACAAGAGGAATAATTTCCAGTTTATGTTTTTCACATAACAAAACAAGTTCTGTTATTTGTGAAGGTGTGTAATGATTGACGGTGGCCGCTGATGCTAAAGGACCATGGAAAGGAAAGGTGTCTTCATATTCGAAGAGAATAGAAGTAGCACCATTTGCTGCCAGCCAAGGGATTAAGGTTTTTAAGATAGAAACTAAAGGTGGAGCTCCTTTCAAATCCAAATGGACCACTCGCTCCTTGGGGATATAATTGGGCCGGTTGGTCTTCCCGTAGACGGGCTCGCCATAAGGATTGTACTTGTAATTTCCTCCCCATGGGCTGCCGAAAGAGTCATCCAGAGGGATCATGACCGCCGCTGGAGGGCCAGTAAATTGCTGGATGGCCATTGGAATCGGGGCTGGAGGACGGCCATCGCTGAGCTGGTCGATGGCCCGCTGCACGGCTTGCTGCCGTTCGTGGATGGACTCGAGCTGGATCCTGGAGTCGGGTCCGCCGTTGTAGTCTGATCCATCACGAACAAGCACACCCTGCAACCTTGAATCGTCACCACGAGCGACTTTATTCCTGTTCAGAATTTTTTGCTGTTCTTCGAACTGATCTTGGGTCTTGGCAACAAACTTTACCCGAGCTACAGGCTTGTCTTGATTGGACCCATCGTCGTGTGAAGTTCCGGTCCCGAATTCTACTTGTCCTAGGGAGTTAAGGTCACGTTTTAGGGGCGGATCTTGGTGACGACCCGTGCTGATGCTTTCATCAGCAGCAAATTGAAAGTAAAACAGACAAAGAGCGACGGCAATGAAGAGACCTCCGAAGAGTTGTCGCCGTAGACGCCATATTGTGGCGCCCGTTTTGGCCATCACCAGTTCAGCGAGCCGCGACATGGCGAAGCTTCACCTCCTGAAAATTAGGTAAACTGTATGAAAATCAATCGAAATTTTATCCTAACCTGAAGAATTTTACAATTTAATATCTCAATGTAGAAGGTATTCAATCAAATTATTGTTACCTTCGAATTTTATTGTTAGTTTTATGAGGTGAAAAACTTTAATGAAGTTTGCAACGATATCTATCTATACTTTGAATTACCTTTATATATACGTACGCACATATATACGTATAGATACTACAGTCCCTTAAATCTTTCTCTACTGACCTTAAGTACCAATACATTTGAATAGCATAAACATAATGTGTCCTTAGACAAAGGTTTAAAACCTACAATCTGTTCCGCGCTTAGGATATAATCACTATTCCTAGTGAGCTATCGAAGCTACGGTAACTAGAGCGACGTGTTCAGTCACCGGACCTAACAAGGTCGGTCTTATCGCGGAGCCTTAGGAAATCTGTCGCATCCGGCACACCACTGCGACTAATTCGTGTGATCTTCGTAACTCGCAGCGAGTGACTTTCTCTGGCAGGATTGGCATATAAACAAGATTTATTTATACATTGAATGTATGATACATTCAAGAATGTATGACGGATAAAAGAATGTATAGCGCATCGAAAAATATACGACACATTCAAGAATGTCTGACGTATAAAAGAATGTATAGCGCATCGAAAAATGTATGACACATTCAAGAATGTCTGAGGGATAAAAGAATGTATAGCGCATCGAAAAATGTATGACACATTCAAGAATGTCTGATGGAGAAAAGAATGTATAGCGCATCTAGAAATGTACGACTCATTCAGAAATGTATTAACATTCAAGACTGTGGCACATTCTATTGGCATACAGACGCCACGATGCTGCTGAAATATATTGATTGGTAGCAAAAATTATGATGCATTTACAAGGAAGGTTGTAAGTGGGATGCATGTGGTATGCGTACCTGCACAGTCTCATGAGCGGCGCTGCCGTGGCTCCAGCACGCGACGCCGCTGGTCAAGCAGGGTGCGAGGTCTCGCTTAGGCCTCCTGCTTCCTGCAGGATATTCAGGTAGAAAAACTCGTTTATTAACGTAAATTTAATCGTAATTAACGTCAAATTACTCGTTTATTAACGTAAATTTATTCGTAATTAACGTAAAATTACTCGTTTATTAACGTAAATTTATTCGTAATTAACGTAAAATTACTCGTCACTAACGTAAAATTACTCGTTATTAACGTAAAATTACTCATTACTAACGTAAAATAATTCGTTATTAATGTAAAATTACTGTTCACTAACGTAAAATTACTCGTTATTAATGTAAAATTACTGTTCACTAACGTAAAATAACTCGCTATTAATGAAAAATTACTCGTCACTGACGTAAAATTACTCGTTATTAATGTAAAATTACTGTTCACTAACGTACAATTACTCGTTATTAACGTAAAATTGCTCGTTATTAACGTAAAATTGCTCGTTATTAATGTAAAATTACTCGTAACTAACGTAAAATTACTCGTTATTGATGTAAAATTACTCGTCACTAACGTAAAATTACTCGTTATTAATATAAAATTACTCGTCACTAACGTACAATTACTCGTTATTAATGTAAAAATACTCGTCACTAACGTACAATTACTCGTTATTAATGTAAAAATACTCGTCAATAACGTAAAATTACTCGTTATTAATGTAAAAATACTCGTCACTAACGTAAAATTACTCGTTATTAATGTAAAATCACTCAATATTAACGTAAATTTACACGTGGTTACCTTAATTTTTCTTTACTTTTACTGGAGCATTGTAAGATTTGTTATTTTTCTGGAAACATGTTCAGCGTTTTTCAGCGGTAGCGAGTGAATATTTACAAATTGAAACAAGATGGAAATGCATTTCAGTTTCAGCAGATATGTTGAACTTACACTGAACATTAAAGACAGTGTGATTTAAATTAATTTTCTCTGTGAAAAAAACACAAACCACCAGTACAATTTTATTTCTTAAAAATATTAATTTAAAAAACTGTTTTATCACGATGTTTAGTGTAAGAAGAATAAAATTGAAGGGAATTGCAAGTAAAAAGTTGAACTAGTCCAAAGAAGCGCTGGGAGGAAAGTTTTCGTTGTATGATAGACTTATTTGAATAACTGCGCTTCAAAACAAATTGTTTACAAAAATTGAAAGAATGATCAATGGAAGTTTCTAAGTATCGATACACTAATTTTTAATTAACTTTAGATCGCTAATTGGAATCTCCAGTGAACTGCAATTCTTATGATTGAGGAAGGTCATGGACAAAAAAATTTAATTAATATGAAGAATTTATTGAATGAAAAATTTAAGGAATGAAGAATTTAATGAAGGAAAAATTTAATGAAGGAAAAATTTAATGAATGAAGAATTTAATGAAGGAAAAATTTAATGAATGAAGAATCTAATGAATGAAGAATTTAATGAATGAAGAATCTAATGAATGAAGAATTTAATGAATGAAGAATTTATTGAATGAAGAATTTAATGAATGAAGAATTTATTGAATGAAGAATTTAATGAATGAAGAATTTATTGAATGAAGAATGTAATGTATAAAGAATTTAATGAACGAAAAATTTATTGAAAGAAGGATTTAATGTATGAAGAATTTAATGAACGAAGAAGTTATTGAATGAAAAATTTAATGAATGAAGCGATGAATGAAGAATTTAATGAATGAAGAATTTAATGAATGAAGAATTTAATGAATAAAGAATTTAATGAATGAAAAATTTAATTAATGAAGAATTTAATGAAGGAAGAATTTAGTGAATGAAGAATTTAGTGAATGAAAAATTTAATGGATGAAAAATTTAATGTATGAAGAATTTAATAAATGAAGACTTTAATGAATGAAGAATTTTATGAATGAAGGATTCAATGAATGAAGAATCTAATGAATGAAGAATTTTAATGAATGAAGAATTTATTGAATGAAGAATTTAATGAATGATGAATTTAATAAATGGAGAATTGAATAAATGAACAATTTAATGAATGAAGAACTTAATGAATGAAGAATTTAATGAATGAAGATATTAATGAATGAAGAATTTAATGAATGAAGAATTTAAGGAATGAAGAACTTTATGAATGAAGAATTTAATGGATAAAGAATATAATGAATGAGGAATTTAAAGGATGTGGAATATAACAAATGATGAATTTAAGGGATGAATAATTCTATAATAGATAATGAATTTAGTAGATGAATAATGTAATGAATGATGAATTTAATTGATGAATAATACAATGAATGATGAATAAAATAGCGAACTGACGAGAAGGCCACTACAGGACTGATGAACGTTACTAGTCAGTATTTCTGTGCTTTATTAGCAATTAAGATTTTTTAATATTGGCGCCTCTAGTACGACTAAAAAAAATTGATTCTACAAACGCCGACTCGATGATTTTTTGTACCTACAATAAAAATATTTTTTTTTGTACAACGCCGTCTCTAGCATAACTCAAACATTGCTCGAAAAAGATTGGTCCTTTCGGAGGTAAAAATTCGTCGACACGAAACTAGGACAGAATTCTATATAAGTTAATTAGAGAAAAATATCGAATTCGATTCCACTTGCAAACTTTTAGGTCCAGTAAGATGGACCTTAAAGGACCCCATATTATTCCGATGATTTTACTCACTTTATGACAGCAAGGCTTCATTAACATTTCTTTTTAAGAATAGCTATACATCACGACGCTTCACTCAAAACATCATGCGACCTAAGACGAAACTTGCACAAAAAACTTCATACGCTCGGCATCACAGCAAGACTTTTATACGAGGCAAATCCTTAGCGAAATTTTTTGAACTTGAAATAAAAGAATGGAGTTTCATGCATGACGCTACGTGAAGACTTGACTCTACAGACTCATGACAGACTCATGACTCTACAGACTTACGACTCTAAAGACGCGACAAAAATTTGTATATTTACTCACTTTATCCACAAGACGGCGGTGGTCGTAGCAGTTCCCTTCCTCTATATCGAGTGACGCTCCGGTGGAGCGTGAGATCGTAATGTCGAACTTACGATGCTGGCAAAACTTCGCGTCTCCGCTCCTCTGACCTACAAATATCAACACTATTACTGTAATTATCATTATTTGTGTTATTAATATCGTCATTCCATTTATTATTATTATTTTTAAGTTACCTGCTCTTGCAAATTCCTAAACACGAAAGCTTAAGTTTGACGTCGAAAAGAAATTAATAAGAATGCGTCATCTCACGACCACTCTAATGACAGGTGTTCACGGCAACTACAGGTGTTCAATAAAACACCTGAAAAAAACTGTAAAATGTACTCAGTATCTCGTAATGAAGAACTGAGCTTGGTTCGCACTGCCATCAGTAAATGCAAAAAGAGATTCTAAAGCCGCACATGCAATGAGACTAGACATTTTCCACCAGACCAAAGAAAATTTTAGGCAGGTGGTGTATTGAGACCCTATATATACATACATGGTGCCAGGCCACGGTGAAATCAACTTTTCACAATAATTCGTGGATATTAATCAGTTGGATATTAATCAAATCAATCTAATAATAATCTAATAATAATCTAATAATAATCTAATAAGAATCTAATAATAATCTAATAATAATCTAATCAGTGGATATTAATCTTATCACAGTGTTTTAAAATATGAATGAATAATGACAAATAACTAACTACTCCGAAGCAAGCAATATTTCACTTCTTTACACGAACTGAAAATTTATTTATTTAAATTTATTTATAAAATTCAGAAAGATAGTATGATGAATAGTTGTCAGGTGATTAAATTCAGTTATTTTCTCTGGACATTATCACCAATTAACGAACTGCTTAAAGTATTTACGACAAATCAGAGGTAAAATAAAATTAATAATTAATTAAAAATAATTTTTTTGTTTCCAAACTTTGCATTATAGCAGCAGCCAAGTCGCATAAATTATAAATTTTAGTTTATTCTTTGGTAGGACTTCTATTTTGCAAGGATAATATACCACACAATAATTAAATTTCAGTTTGTGCCTTTGTAGGACTTTTACTGTGCAAGCCTAAAACACAATACGACTAATACGAGCCAAACGTACAATACAATAATACAAAAGATTCTAATTAGTAAGCACCGCTAGCGCAGCTGTAACGACAGCACACAGGCTACTGCTGTCACTGTAACTACTGCTGTCACTGTAACTACTGCTGTCACTGTAACTACTGCTGTCACTGTAACTACTGCTGTCACTGTAACTACTTAACCATTAAACTAATTAATTAAAAAAAATTACTCAGTGCGCACCAGCTGCAGACATCGCTCACAATATCTGCCGTCAAGATCACGACGCATGTCACCGACGCGGCGAAATAACTTAACTGTCGCATCGATAGCTTGCATGTGTTACAAGAAGCTGCCATTGAACGCGTCATGTAATACTTAAATAAAACATATAGAATAAATTCTACTCGTATATACCCAGGGCCTATACTTTCAAAAAAAGTTAAGAGATCGTAAGTTCATCAGCCAATCATTGACGGCCTTTCAAGCAAAAGCCACTAATCATAGACGAGAAAATAGAGCGTAAGTACTTACGTTCACTTAGCGAGTTTTGAAAGTATATGGCCCCAGAAGCGTATAAAGAGCGCGTTCGCGTATATGTATATACGCAGACGGCGTATAATAAATCCGCGTGGTGGGGGACAAAAAACTGAGGTAGAATAAGTGGATGGTGCGTACTGAAGTCTAGGAGGGGAGCGGCTTCTTATTTTAACGTTAAAGCTCGGTTTTATGCTGACAAATTGTATTTTTTCAGCATATAATAGATAATTTTTGATTAACATTGCTTTAGTTTTTGAATTATTAGGGTAGCTGAAAAGAAGATTTGACAAGAAGTTTATGAAATTTCGTGTACCAACTACGTCAACAAATGACGAGATCACCTTTTATTAGCTTGAATGAGTTAATCACTGATTGTTCATTGAATGATGCTCAACACTTCTACTATATGGAATAATATCAAAGTCTTATGTTACGTGGAATCATGTTCACATATATATGATTTATATATATTTACATATATTTATATCAGAAATATATATATATTTCTTATCTTATTCTTATATATATATTTCTACGCTGCTTGTTATTCGCAGTGGAACTTCAGGAATGTGGACAAAATTAGCATAGACTCTAATTTAAGATCGAAGCCTCATTCCGTACCGAATAACGGAAATAAGATTTTGTAACAAAATGGCTTTTTTTTCATGTAAACTGTATGCATATTATGTTAGTTTTTACACTATAGCAGGCATGATACGAAAATCTTTTTTGTGAAGGAAAGGAAATCTCCAAGCGTCACGAAGCTGCAGACCAGATTTTTGCTCAGCTGAGAAAACATCGTTCACCTGTGCAATCTTGATTGGGAGGAAGGGGGATGAGGGGGACCAACATTACACATTACAGAACTGGGTGGGGGTGAGGGGGACCAACATTACACATTACAGAACTGGGTGGGGGTGAGGGGGACCAACATTACACATTACAGAACTGGGTGGGGGTGAGGGGGACCAACATTACACATTANAGTTAGATGTTTTTGTAGAACGTGAGGTTCTGAAGGAATCATAAAACCATATAAAAACCAAATTAATGTTCCTATGAACGGAAGCGATTGCTAAGGCATCGAGTCAACGTCTATACCGCATGCCAATCAAGCTGACATCAGCACAGCAATTCTGCAACGTTGCAAGAACAGAGTCCCTGCCAGCAGCTAATCTATCTTTTGATTATAAAATTAATCAGAATTCCTTTTTTCCGTGCATGATGTTGCGTAGGTAATTCATTTCTTGCACACGAAGGCAAAATGTAAACTTCTCAACATCGGGTGATAAACTTCTCGACATCTCGTTTGTCCTGACAATATGATTGGACAAATCGATACAATTTCTAATTAAGGATTACAAAACGGTCAACGACAATTTTTCAGTTTGGTAAAACATTGTGACTTATTGATATATTTGCTACAAATTATCATTATAATAAATTTCCGCCTTATTAAAAGACCTTTACTTGATCGTGACCTCAACTCTGTGCTGATCGTGACCTCGAGTCTTTTGTGCTGATCGCGACCTCAGGTCTTTTGTGCTGATCGTGACCTCGGGTCTTTTGTGCTGATCGTGACCTCGGGTCTTTTGTGCTGATCGTGACCTCGGGCCTTTTGTGATGTTCGTGACCTCGAGTATTTTTGTGCTGATCGTGACCTCGGGTCATTTGTGCTGATCGTGACCTCGGGTCATTTGTGGTGATCGTGACCTCGGGTCATTTGTGCTGCTGTCTCTTATACACATCTAGATGTGTATAAGAGACAGGTATAATGTAGTGGCATGAAGCAGGTAATAAAGGCGCGCTACAAAGATACAAGCTACGCCGCCTAGTCAACCGCGTTAGAGCAACTGAAGCGACATTTATCGTCTAAAATGTACGAGGAAAGTCAAAACAATTTCTTAAACAAATGTTAATTTAATTTTAATTTAAAACGAATTTAAGGGTATTAAAGTTGGCATTGATGAGCTGCCTTGCGCTCTATGTGAGAATATTGTAACAACAACCTTTAGTTATAGTTTGGTAGTGGAACTTTTTTTGCAGCTTTAGCTCTAATGGGCGGGTATTCTGTGCCGTTTACACGTAGATAAGCAAAGAACAGAGACACATGTCATCGTCTCATGGTCTCTGCCCTCACGTCACCCCTCGTCAGGACTGCAGACCCTCACGTCACCCCTCGTCAGGACTGCAGACCCTCACGTCACCCCTCGTCAGGACTGCAGAACTACCCTCACGTCACCCCTCGTCAGGACTGCAGAACCTCACGTCACCCCTCGTCCTGTCTCTTATACACATCTAGATGTGTATAAGAGACAGNGCAGATCATCACGCGATGCACAGCCTTCGTCCGACCCCTCCGACCCCTCTGACCCTTCCGATTCCATAAATTTTCGTTCCCAGAAGAAGAAGCAACATGAATAATAATAAAAAAGATAAAATAACGCATCACAACTCTCGAAAAGGGAACAACCTCAGAACCAAACCATGGAATTTCTCTTGATATTCAGTAAGAATTCAGTCAGAATCGAAGGCGCATTAGCGCTGGCCGACCGAAAGCCACCAATATTATGTCTGTGGTTTTTTAAGGGGTAGGTGACCTGGTTCATCATGTAACGCCAACAGCGAAGGCATAATAGGATAATTGTCCGCTCGGTTCTGAACACGATCGATGGATTCTGAATGTGTATGAGACACGGAACACGATAAGTTGAAGTTCAAGTGTGGGAATATAAGTTGAAGTTGAAGTGTTGGCATATAAGTTTAAGTGTGGACATATAAGTTGAAGTCTGGACATATAAGTTGAAGTGTGTGGAATATAAGTTGAAGTCTGGACTTATAAGTTGAACTTGAGGCGATAATCTCGGATTAATAAATGCGTTATTGAGCATATTATTCAGAGGGTTATGTGAGTAAGTGCTTATGTTCAAAGGCCAAATAAGGTCAGGAAGATCCTATAAAGGGTACGTAAGTAGAAATACCTTAATTTTTCGTTAAAATACTTGTAAAGTTTATACAAAATTGCAATTATTTTCATTTTTTTCATCAAGACAACTCAAAGTACATATGTATTAGTGACGTTTAAACTTGACGAAAATACTACAATCTATCGAAATTTTACCTTTAAACTTTTAGTGACCTTTAAACTTGAATAAAATACTAAAATCTGTCGAAAATTAAATTTAAGACCACACAACTGGACTTATGCCATGAGAAGTTAAGATGTTTACTCAATTCCTCCTAAGATTCGATTTTAATGTCGTCTTAATCAAGTCACTATACTCACTCCCGAGCCATACTTGCCTCAAGTCGAGATATTTTCTTTTACTGGAGCTTATATACAACTCGCGCGCCTCGAAATCCCGATACTTATATTCTACATGTAATATATACTGCATGTCAGGAGCGGTGACCATATACTGCATGTGAAGAGATATATGTGAAGCATATACTGCATGTGATGATGTGAGCATATACTGCATGTGAAGATCTGTGAGCATATACTGCATGTCCTGTAAGCATACCGGTATACTGCATGTGAAGAGCAGTGAGTATATACTGCATGTGAAGAGCTGTGAGCATATACTGCATATGTCAAGAGCTGTAAGCATATACTGCATGTGAGGAGATATATGCGGAGCATATACTGCCTGTGATTAGCTGTATGTAATGCATATACTGCATGTCAAGAGCTGTGAGCATATACTGCACGTAAAGAGCTGTACCATGCAGCGTAAATAACCATGCTTGTAGGACACAAATGTTAGCAGGTTCAAATACGGGCGGAACTGAGCTTCTCACGTCACTCCAAGTTACGATGCGCATGTCACCCAAACTTCAACTCAAGTTGCACGGAAGTTGCGGCTAGAGCATGCAGCAGCAAACACCCCGCCATCATCACCTCTGTGGTGGCGGGATTGCGGCTACAGCAGCAGCAAACATCCCTGCCTGTGGTTTTTTAAGGGGTAGGTGACCTGGTTCATCATGTAACGCCAACAGCGAAGGCATAATAGGATAATTGTCCACTTGTATCTGAACACGATCGATGGATACTGAACGTGCATGAGGCACGGAACACGTTCAAGTGTGGGCATATAAGTTGAAGTGTGGACATATAAGTTGAAGTGTGGACATATAAGTTGAAGTGTGGACATATAAGTTGAAGTGGGGATATACAAGTTGAAGTGGGGATATACAAGTTGAAGTGTGGACATATAAGTTGAAGTGTGGACATATAAGTTGAAGTGTAGACAGATAAGTTGAAGTTTGGACATATAAGTTGAAGTGTAGACAGATAAGTTGAAGTTTGGACATATCAGTTGAGCTTGAGGCGATAATTTTGAATTGAGAAGTGGGTTATTGACCATATTATTCAGAGGGTTATGTGAGTAACCGGTTAGGTTTAGAGGCTGAATAAGGTCAGGAGGATTCTAAAAAGGGTACGTAAGTAGAAGTACTTTAATTTTTAGTTAAAAACATGTAAACTTTTACAAATTCGTCATTATTTTTATTTTTTATCAAGACAACTCAAAATTTTGGTGATATTTAAACTTGCAGAAAATACTACATTCTGTCGAAATTTGAGTTTAGGACCACACGACTGGAACTTATGTCAAAAGAAGTTAATATTTTTACTTATTTCCTCCTAAGATTTGATTTTAATGTCTTCTCAAGTCACGATACTTACACCCGCGATACTTTCCTCTAGTCGAGATATTTTCTTTTACTGTAGCTTATACAACTCGCGCTCCTCGATATCGCGATACATACATTCTACATGTAATATATACTGCATGTCAAGAGCTGTGAGCATATACTGCATGTGAAGAGATATATGTGAAGCATATACTGCATGTCAAGAGCAGTGAGCATATACTGCATGTGAAGAGCAGTGAGCATATACTGCATGTCAAGAGCTGTGAGCATATACTGCATGTGAAGAGCAGTGAGCATATACTGCATGTCAAGAGCTGTGACCATATACTGCATGTGAAGAGCTGTGAGCATATACTGCATGTCAAGAGCTGTGAGCATATACTGCATGTGAAGAGCTGTGAGTATATACTGCATGTAAAGAGCGGTGAGCATATACTGCATGTCAAGAGCTGTGAGCATATACTGCATGTGAAGAGCTATATGTGAAGCATATACTGCATGTGATGAGCTGTGAGCATATACTGCCTGTGATTAGCTGTATGTAATGCATATACTGCATGTCAAGAGCTGTGAGCATATACTGCATGTGAAGAGATATATGTGAAGCATATACTGCATGTGATGAGCTGTGAGCATATACTGCCTGTGATTAGCTGTATGTAATGCATATACTGCATGTCAAGAGCTGTGAGCATATACTGCATGTGAAGAGATATATGTGAAGCATATACTGCATGTGATGAGCTGTGAGCATATACTGCCTGTGATTAGCTGTATGTAATGCATATACTGCATGTCAAGAGCTGTGAGCATATACTGCATGTGAAGAGATATATGTGAAGCATATACTGCATGTGATGAGCTGTGAGCATATACTGCCTGTGATTAGCTGTATGTAATGCATATACTGCATGTCAAGAGCTGTGAGCATATACTGCATGTGAAGAGATATATGTGAAGCATATACTGCATGTGATGAGCTGTGAGCATATACTGCCTGTGATTAGCTGTATGTAATGCATATACTGCATGTCAAGAGCTGTGAGCATATACTGCATGTGAAGAGATATATGTGAAGCATATACTGCATGTGATGAGCTGTGAGCATATACTGCCTGTGATTAGCTGTATGTAATGCATATACTGCATGTCAAGAGCTGTGAGCATATACTGCATGTGAAGAGANCGCGAGGCTAACAATCAACGCGAGGCTAACAATCACCGCGAGGCTAACAATCAACGCGAGGCTAACAATCACCACGAGGCTAACAATCAACGCGAGGCTAACAATCAACGCGAGGCTAGCAATCAACGCGAGGCTAACAATCAACGCGAGGTTAACAATCACAAACATGACAAAAAAAAAAAAACAAGAAACCGAATACAGAAAAATTAGGTTTTCAAATTCCAGATATTTTTCATAAAGACATTCGAATCAGCAGGACATATTGAAGTACAACGTGTAATATCTTTACCTGCATAACTGTGCTTTGAACACTGAGAAGCACCTGAATGTAATGAAAAGCATCCGTAACTTCGGAAAATTGGAGTGGTTGAATATAAATTATTGTAATATCGGCGAAAAAATGCAATAAATTATCAATTCATAATTAAGATGAAAGATTAAATAAAATTAGGAATCATATCACCAGTATGACAATGTTCTATATAAAAAATTGTTAATCGAAAATTTTTTGTAAATCATTATAAGAAAAGAAATTTAACGAAAATATATGTAATTTACAAAATTAATGAAATTAAGTTTGAGAAACGAAATTTATGGGAATAATTTAAATTACCGTACGTAAGGAATAATATAATTGACCAAATATCGTTAAATAACGAAAACACACAAAAAAATATTACGGGAATAATTTTAATATGTAAGGAATAATATGATAATCGAGAAAAAATATCGTTAATTAACGAAAAAACACAAAAAAATATTACGGGAATAATTTTAATTAACGTACGTAAGGAATAATATGATAATCGAGAAAAATATCGTTAATTAACGAAAACACCAAAAAATATTACAATGCGAAAATCAGTAAATGACTTTGATCGCACTGGCGCGTTGGGAAAGAGTAGGCGAGGGGAGAGAGATCGGAGCAGGGGTGGAGGCCCGCATCACGAGATCGATACAAGCGCTGTGCACCAACCATTCTTTCCCTCTTGAAATGCGAGGCTTTAGTCTCCGCGTATCGTAAGGCCGGCGTTCAATGAACATTTCTGTCATCACGGTTCTAGAGGTCCGGCAAAAACGCTTACTTTCATCTCTGGGTTTAAAATTTAGGTTCACGGTTGACGGGATATAACGGCACCGTGAGTCAGACACGCGACGGGGCATGCGCAGAGGACTGCTTTGCGTACGTCGTCTAAGGGCGAGAATTGTTATGAGAAGTGCTTTATTTTCGGCATAGGACGTGTAATGAGACTGCTAACTCGTAGGAGCGTCGGCAAGAGTGTTTAGAGTTAAAGTCGTCTCCGCTTACCCACACAATCTTAAAACAAGCGATGTAGGGGATACTCAAAAGAATCGGCTATTAAAAATATAATTAGATCACTGTGAGAAATATTTAATACTTTCTGACCTTAGTACTTGAAGTAGTGATGCAAGTGTATTGTAATGCTTATTAGCACAGCGAAGGAAGGGGAAGATATGGACGAGTTACACCATGCAGAAAGAGAGGTTAAAGACAGAGCAGCGCACTCCTCCCTTCACGACAGACGTCACCAAACTGAGCGGTCTTGCGAGGACAGCGTCGCTGCAAACCAACGACTGAGTTAGCTGTGTTGCGGAGAAACATACACAGGAATTCCCATCCGTTTAAACATATATAAAAAACACACAGCCAGTGCACGAAGTTTAAAGAAATCTTGTATTAATGTAAAGCTTCAAATCAAATAATAAAAAAATCTCAGAAATGAGGTTTACCCTCATGTACGAGGTACAGAATCCGGGAACGTAAAAACCTGAAGTCACGATAATTTAATATTTTTGCCTAATGACTTGAAATTTTGCCGAAAAATTTCAGAAAACACTGAAAATGCACCTTCCATATCCGTAACTGAGAATTCAAATTTTTTAATTCAACTCATGCAATATTTTTTCCCTCACTTTCCTCTACAACTTATCAATGAAAATATCAATGAAAGTTATCAGTGAAAGTATCAATATGTATAAAAATCATTACGATTTAATAAAATAAAGAATAAAATTTCTAGCTGCCTTTCACATGAATCACCCATGGAATTGTATTTTGTGAGCACGATATTTGTAAAAAATTCCAACTATTCCAGTTAGATGTTTTTGTAGAACGTGAGGTTCTGAAGGAATCATAAAACCAAATAAATGTTCGTATGAACGGAAGCGATTGCTAAGGCATCGAGTCACCGTCTATACCGCATACCAATCAAGCTGACATCAGCACAACAAATCTGCAACGTTGCAAGAACAGAGTGCTTGCCAGCAGCTAATCTATCTTTTGATTATAAAATTAATCAGAATTCCTTTTTTCCGTGCATGATGTTGCGTAGGTAATTCATTTCTTGCACACGAAGGTAAAATTTAAATTTCTCGACATCGGGTGATAAACTTCTCGACATCTCGTTTGTCTTGATAGTATGATTAGACAAATCGATACAATTTCTAATTAAGGATTACAAAACGGTCAACGACAATTTTTCAGTTTGGTAAAACATTGTGACTTATTGATATATTTGCTACAAATTATCATTATAATAAATTTCCGCCTTATTAAAAGACCTTTACTTGATCGTGACCTCAACTCTGTGCTGATCGTGACCTCGAGTCTTTTGTGCTGATCGCGACCTCAGGTCTTTTGTGCTGATCGTGACCTCGGGTCTTTTGTGCTGATCGTGACCTCGGGTCTTTTGTGCTGATCGTGACCTCGGGCCTTTTGTGCTGATCGTGACCGCGGGCCTTTTGTGATGTTCGTGACCTCGAGTATTTTTGTGCTGATCGTGACCTCGGGTCATTTGTGCTGATCGTGACCTCGGGTCTAGTCTTTTGTGCTGATCGTGACCTCGAGTCTTTTGTGCTGATCGTAACCTTAAGTCTTTTGTGTTGATCGTGACCTGGGTCATTTGTGCTGATCGTGACCTGGGGTCATTTGTGCTGATCGTGACCTCGGGTCTTTTGTGCTGATCGTGACCTCGAGTCTTTTGTGCTGATCGTGACCCCAGCTGTAGCCCCAGGAACGGAAGATTGACAGCTCCAGCAAATCTCTATCATTGACGATTGGCTAGAACGGATTTATGTGAACACTTATACATCTGAGTATTTGACTCATGAAATCGTCACAAAACCCGCTGAAACTTTTGGCAGATCTGAGGTATTTTGCCTTAAGTCTACTGGTTCGTAGATCAAATTTATTTTTTACAGATGATTTTAATTTCGGATAAGAATTTTATAAATAGCACACAACATTATTATTTAGAAAACTGCTAGTCTTATCAATGCGTACCAAGACCAATCTTGATCTCGTTATTAGGTTACTAGATGTATTTGAGTAATATTATTACTTTTTTTATTATTAATATTATTATGAGGTATAAATGTACGAGGTAATGAACCAAAATTGAAAATTTTAAAACTCCACCTACCATAATCATATAACATAAAACTGACGGTTAAAATACTACAGATTGAATTTTTCAGAACAAGTAATTGCACGAATGTTTAACCCATCATAAATTCTTGAAAACCTGTGAACTGTTCGTGAAAAAATCTCCAAGTGAATTTAGCAAATTAGAGGAAGCGTTCTTATGAAGTATGTACAATTTTAGGCTGCGAATGCAGGTGTGTCCAGCAATAAGGCGCGTGCTAACATATTTTACAGCAATTTCTGGTGCAGGCTGCGGATGCAGAAACAAACAAACAATTTAAACGAGTCGTGTAGTCAGCTCACGTTTGAGCCACACCCGTGAAAGGCGGCAGTCCCGGTGTATATATACAGTATGAAAGGCACCAACCAACTGCCTATAACGCAGGAAATGCGTGCCTTGCCTATAGGCAACCTAACAGCTTTTGTATACAAAAGACCTCATTTGGCTTGCACTAGCATAGCATGTACCTTTTGTTGCAGTCAAGCCACGAAAAATACTATTGAAGCAAATCTATTTCATGCATAACGCTAACAAAATTTAAACTCGCCCCCAGCTTCTGGTAATCCAAATCAGAAGCTGAAGCGTCTGTAAATTTTCACTGGGAAACTGCATTAATTGTGGAATAATATCTACAAACCAGAATATACTCGTTCAGATGAAGCAGGCAGCCCTGACATTTATCGGAAGTTTGTTGATAATGCAGCTTATAGGACACGTGATGAATTGACTTGAAGTTTCTACAAGAACGACGAAAATAAAGTAGTAGCAACACTTTTTCCTTGCCATGAATGAAGGGTGAGCATTATGTTGGATGTTTTAAAAGGTATCCACGGCATGGCTAGTTTCAATTGATATTATAAACAACGTGAACAATATTCCAGTACAACTACAATCAATATTCTCGTGCTATCAATATTATTCGTGAACAATATTCTAGCTCGAATAATCGTAGTTCACGTCGTTATAGACTTACAACCATGCCCTAGAAATTGCAGGAAGTTCTTGGCTCTAATTCAAGGAAGTTAGAGAAGTGGAGGCACTTAATAAATAATAAGCATAATAAACTATAAGAGGAGATTTAATTCATTGCACAAGGAAGTGTTCACAGGCTCATTCATTTAGTCGGGTTAGATGAAAAGCTGAAAAACTGCCCATATCGAAATGAAGAATCGCGAGCCTTCCATTAAGGAAAATGATATAATATATTACGCCTTTGTTCATCTTGAAGCTGTACTGAGTTGTGTGATCCCGACTCGATCATTTTCAACATATTGAAAGCCGTCATGAATACGCAGGTTTTCTTTCAAGTGATAGAATAATAATAATAAAATTAATACAAGATGATTAATAGAATGCCTAAACTCCAGAGCAACAAACGCAAGAAATAAATTATTGGGTGCGGTCTTTGTTGTAATGTAAATTACTTAGGTTGAATCCACCAAAATTTTCTGCATTCTCGCCCCCAAGGCACATGACGCGACGCTTAGTGCCGGCGATTTCCCTCCTGATTTTGTATCTTAAAAAAAAACAGTTCACAGAATGAAGTCAATTATAATGTCCATTGATTTTTTTCTCCTATGTTCGTCATTTCACTTATTTACCTGTTCTTGGAATTTCGCAAATTCCTGAAAATTTTACCAGGATAAAAAAAATTGTCAACAATCTGGAAATTTTTCCTGCGTTTGCCTGAATCGCGAATAGGAGATCACGAGCTCCAAGGCAGCAAGAATTCGAGGTCATCGTATGGAATTGTGCCAAGAAACTTAAAGGAATGATGAGACGTTAACATGTGTACGAGTTATAACATTTTATACTTACAAACGAGAACGACATCCAAAACAGATTATTTGTGATATTAAAAGTCAATCACGGCCTTTGATAATATTTCTACATTAATAATAAACCCTATTAAGCTGGTTATCGACTCAAATATCTTAATCCAACGAATTTAATTAGAACACGAGCATCATCAGTTAATCGAAATACAGTTATCGAGACATCGGGTTTTAACGTGTTTTTGACCATGAACTCGTTCTGGAGCATCGAAACTTATTCATTACTCGAGAAAACCCAAAAAAACAGGATATGTATTTAAGGCAGTACCCAAGAAATCCAAAACTGTTACCAGACATAAAAATCTGGCCCCAATACGACACAGCATTTTATTTATGAAATCGTATAATTTTCCTTGCCCTGCCAACCTGGAGTTAAATTAAAAACTATAATGTGTGAATCTAATTCAAAGGGAATGTGTAATCTTCACTGCCACTGGTTATTATAATGCACAACAACACACAGGATTATAAACAAAATCTGGTGGCAAGCGGGCGTAGATCCTAACAACAAGCATTGCTTTCGTCTTGCTCCGAACTCGATCCAAAGTTTCCAAGATCTTACGTATTCCTGCCACGAGCCTATCAATATTCCTGCGTAAGAAAGCCTTGCTAGAGAGCCTTCATTAGCGCATACACAACGCGCCTGTTCCGTTACGGTTTCTTCCACACCTCACAGAGTTGTTCCGTGACCGCAGCACTGCCCTACATAGGCACTCCACTCTGCTACATAGTGTAAAAACAATATATTGATTGTATTAATCAATTGAACTTATAATTTATATTATTTCCGTGCTGTTTAACATTAAAAAAGATAGTAAAAAATATCTACAATAAAAATAAATTTTCCTCACTCGCTCGGTGAACTCGTGCCAGGTAGCCGGTCTCGCATGAATGCCGTCGAGTTACGCTAACGGCATTTAACAGCAACGGGAATGCCTGCGCCAGAACTGGCATACAAAGTGCATTTTCAAAACAGATAACGGTTAGGGGTATCACCCTAGATAATCAGGGTCATACGCCCTAGATGATAGGGATCATACACCCTAGATAATAGGGATCATACACCCTAGATAATAGGGATCATACACGCTAGATAATAGGGATCATTCACCCTAGATAATAGGGCGTATAATCTGCAGTTGCATGTATTTTTAGTGACCACTTATAGGAATGCATTATATATATTTTGTAAACTATACTTAAATGACGGTTTATTATTGTGCGTAAGAAATTGCGGATATACAGTA